TATATTTCAATTTCGATCCAAATAATATCAGAAAAATGGAAAGTCAGAATTTCGAGGTTCGGGATTCGGATTGAAATCGGAAAATTTCGGATCATAACGGCCGGAAATCAAATTTCGTTCCAAATTCCAACCTAATCCCAGGCAAATAATTTTGGTCGTTAAAGTTCTTTCATTTATTCATTTATTGCTAAGAGTCTTCTAAAATAATTGCAACATGCCTCTTTTCTCTTTATTAACTCAAGAATTTATAGCAAAAACTGGAAAATAAAACCAAAAAAATAATTATATAAAGATGAGAAATCAACAATATTATTTCAATTAGATGAGAGACAAAATAGAAAATACATAAAAATTGAACTATGAAATATGAATTATATCAAGAAATTAAATTCAAAGAGGCCCAAATTTACCCGGCATATATTCCCGGTGGCATTCAATTTCTCTCCTCTGCACCTCCGATCCACGCGCGCAGATTTTATTTTATTTTTTATTTTTTCAAATTTCCCCAAATAAATCTGAATACTCAAAAAGCTAAACGCCATAAAATAAAGCTAATCAAGAACGGGAATATTCCGACGGAAAACCTCCGATTCCCGCCGGAATAATAAGGGTAAACAGGGTACACACTCCCCGGCGGACCGTTTATGTATATGTAAGGAGGGCTCGGCGGCTTATCACCGCCAGGTGACGACGGCGGCGGCGGACACAACTCGCTAGGCGGCGGCTTCTTTGTCGGCGACGGCGGCGGTTGAATGGATGGCGGCGGAGGAGACGGCGGCGGGATACAGGGTTTGTCACAAGGGCAGTCACCGCACTTGTTCTCGAAATCTGGAGGGCTACTCTGCTCATCCAATTTTCTTGAATTCATCATCAGTTTTTCAGATTTAACTACCAGAGGTGAAACCATGGTTAGTAGGATAGTTATATGCAAGAGACTGAGCCTAGCCATGGTAGGGTTTAATTTGAGGTGTTTGTATGAAGATGAAAATAGTTTGATTTTGTTGTGTGCATGAAAGATAGGGAAAATGGGGTAAGGAGAAGTATTAGCGTATATTATTATTATTATTATTATTTATTATAGTTACCTTATACATTAGGTTACCTTGTATATTAGATTACCTTGTGTAGTAGGTTAGGGTTTCCTACATGTAACTATATATATTCTCAATATACGTAAGAGATATCATTCTCTCTTCTCTCCAATTATTCTCCTTCTATCATGGTATCAAGCCAAAAACCCTAAGGCCGCCGTTTCTCCCCTTCTTCAATTTTTTTCTCGTTCTTCTTCAATTTTTTTCCTTCTTCTCGTTCTCTCATCTGTTCTATATCCACCATGGCCGACGAAACACCAACACCGACCATGATTTCCAACCCTTTTCATCTTGCTCATGCCATATCCAACATCAAAGCTCTTATTCCTGTTACCCTGGATATTAAAAATCCGAACTATCAAAAGTGGAGTCATTTCTTCATCATCACCGCAGGCCGTTTCTGCCTCACCGATCTGCTTCTCGGAAACGCAAAGCCCACCAACATCTCCGCCGACGAATGGCAACGCGCGGATTACCTCCTCCAATCTTGGATCTATGGCACCATCACCGAGGACCTCTCAAGCATGGTCCTCTCCAAAACCGCAAAGGCTCCTGATCTGTGGAAGGCCCTCGCTTCTCTCTTTACAGACAACGAAGACTATCGGGCCATCCAACTCGAAGAACAGTTCAAATCCCTCAAGAAAGGATCTCTTTCGATCCATGACTATTGTCAACTTCTCAAAACCACTGCCGACAACTTGGCAGACGTCGGCAACCCCGTGTCAGACAAGCAACTCGTCCTCCAAACCCTCCACGGTCTACCAAAACATTACGGGACCATTGTCAACCTAATCTCCTTCCAAACTCCATTACCTTCTTTTCTCCAAACACGTTCACTACTCCAGATGGAAGAACAGCGCATCGCTGAACCGGAGCAGACCCCTACTGTTCTCTACGCATCTCGCCCCAACAGTTCCAACAGTTGGCCGAACAGTGGCAACAGTTGGCCGAACAGTTCCAACAGTTGGCCCAACACTCCCAGCAATTCTCGAGGTGGTGGTTCTTGGCGCAATCAGCGAGGTGGTGGTCGCACGAATCGTCGTGGCGGTCGTGGTCAGTCACGACATCCGATGCAACACTACGGTTTCAATCAATTTCACCACCAATCGCAACCTTGGCGGGCCCCTTATACGCCTCAGACACCTTCATCGATTCTTGGACCCCCCCCAAGCTCTCCTGGTCCTTATCATGCTCCTACAGCTCATGCTTATTTCGTTGGACAGCAAGATCCCCAACAGCACGTGAACTGTTCCAACAGTTCGTCGAACAGTGGTCCCCTACAGCCAACAGATCTTGCCACTCATCTCAACACGTTGACCCTTCAATCATCGAGCGAACCTCAGTGGTTTATGGACACGGGCGCCTCATCTCACATGGCACCTCACTCAGGTAATTTCCATTTTATTTTTAATCCTAGTAATAATTTTCCCAAGCATGTCATCGTTGGTAATGGATCCACTGTTCCTATCCATAAAATTGGCCACACCATCCTACCCTCTACCCCATTTCGTCTAACCAATGTCTATGTTACTCCTCACATCATTAAGAACCTTGTGTCTGTCCGAAAATTCACTAGAGATAACTCTTGTTCAGTTGAATTTGACCCTTATGGCTTTTCTGTGAAGGACCTTCGGACCAGAGCAGTCATCCTCAGGTGCAATAGCTCCGGTGATTTATACCCTATTGGCGCCCCTTCTCCCAGCCCATCCGCAACCGCCCTCCTTGCTCACACCACGTCTGTCTCCTCTACTACATGGCATCGTCGTCTCGGTCACCCGGGAAACCCTGTCATGTCTCGTCTTTTTTCTTCCAATTTAATTTCTAGTACCAAAGACCCACGGGAGTCTCTTTGTAATGCTTGTCAATTAGGCAAACATTCTCGTTTACCTTTCTTTACTAGTCATTCTATTACCGTTGCACCTTTTGAAATTATTCATGCTGATCTATGGACCTCTCCTATTTCTAGTATTTCTGGTTTCAAATATTACCTCGTGCTAATAGATGATTTCACCCACTATACATGGACTTTCCCCATACACTATAAATCCGATGTTTTCTCACTGTTCCAACAGTTTCACAAACTTATACAAACACAATTTCAGCACCCCATTAAAGCTTTACAATGCGATAATGGACGTGAATTCAAAAATACAGATTTTCAAACATATTTTGCCAAACACGGTATCTTACACCGTTTCTCATGTCCCCACTCTTCCCCTCAAAACGGACATGCCGAACGCATGATCCGCACCATCACAAACATGATCCGCTCACTTCTCTTTCAAGCTTCCCTTCCCCCCACCTATTGGGTCGAAGCCCTTCATATGGCTACACATCTCATCAACATCCTTCCTACCAAATCCACACAAAATCGCACACCACATGAATCCCTATACAAATCAAAACCCACATACTCTCACCTTCGTGTCTTCGGTTGTCTCTGTTATCCCAATTTAACCGCCACCACCCCTCACAAACTCGCCCCTCGCTCTACTCCTTGTGTCTACCTTGGTCACCCCTCATCGCACAAAGGCTATCGTTGCCTCGATCGGTCAACCGGTCGAATCATTATCTCCCGCCATGTGATCTTTGATGAAAGCCGTTTTCCATTCGCTGAATCCACCGACTCACCCCACAACTCCCCCACCTCTAATATGACCGAACCCCTGCACCCACTTCTCTTCCTTCCTCAGCCTACACAAGTCCAACCACATGTCTCACAAAACTGTCCCAATAGTTCGTCCAACAACAATACACAACCACCTACGGTTACAACCAACTGTCCCAACAGTTCGTCCGACAGTCCTCCCTCAACTACACCCATGCCCCTCCACCCGACTGCATCTCCACAACCAGCAGAACCACAGCCTCCCACTCCCACTTCCTCACCCCCACCCAACCATCCTATGTTGACACGCAGCAAGGCCGGTATTCACAAGCCCAAAATCCCCTTTTCTCTTACCGTGTCTACCGCATCCCAAACTCCCACTACATATCGCCATGCCCTCCTTGATCCAAACTGGCGTATGGCCATGCTTGAGGAATATACTGCTTTGATTAAAAATAACACATGGGATATTGTGCCCCGCCCCCCTTCTACTAATGTTATCAGTGGCAAGTGGTTATATAAGCAGAAATTGAAGGCTGATGGTTCATTGGAACGGTATAAAGCACGATGGGTTGTTCGCGGTTTTGATCAACGCCCTGGCATAGATTTCGATGAAACATTCAGTCCGGTGGTCAAACCAGCAACTGTTCGAACAGTTCTCAGTCTTGCTCTCTCGCGATCATGGCCTATCCACCAACTTGACGTGAAAAATGCCTTCTTACATGGCAATCTCTCTGAAACTGTCTACTGCGAGCAACCTCCCGGATTCATCGATCCATCTCGCCCCACTCACGTGTGCCGTCTCAACAAAGCACTCTACGGCCTCAAGCAGGCACCACGTGCTTGGTACAAGCGTTTTGCATCTCACATTACTAGCATGGGGTTCAGAGAATGCAAGTCCGACACTTCACTCTTTGTGTACTGCCGCAACAGTTCCCGCGACTGTCGCAACAGTTCACGCGACTGTCGCAACAGTTCATGCGCCTACCTTCTGCTGTATGTCGATGACATTGTACTCACGGCCTCCACACCTGAATTGCTACGTTCTATCACCGCTGCCCTTACTCAAGAGTTCGCAATGAAGGATCTTGGCGATCTTCACTACTTTCTCGGCATCTCAGTCACTCGCTCGTCGAATGGGTTGTTTCTCTCTCAACGCAAGTACGCTAACGAGATACTAGAGCGTGCACACATGGCCTCCTGCAACCCTTGTCTTACGCCAGCTGACACAAAGAGCAAGTTGTCCTCAACCACTGGACCCCCCGTTGCTGACCCCACTCTTTATCGCAGCCTTGCCGGTGCACTGCAATACCTCACGTTTACTCGTCCTGACATCTGCTATGCTGTGCAACAAATATGCCTATTCATGCATGATCCGAGGGAACCTCATATGGCTGCTCTCAAGCGTATCCTTCGCTACATCCGTGGACTCTCGATCACGCACTTCAGCTCTCCCCCAATCCGGACCTCTCACTTATCGCCTACTCCGACGCCCGATTGGGCTGGCTGCCCTGACACTCGTCGTTCGACATCGGGCTATTGTGTTTTCCTCGGCAACAACCTCATCTCTTGGTCCTCCAAACGACAGGTCACTACTTCTCGATCGAGTGCGGAGGCCGAATACCGAGCTGTCGCAAATGCCGTTGCCGAAACGACTTGGTTACGCAACCTACTTTCCGAGTTGCTCTGCCCACTTCCGAAAGCCACCATTGTCTACTGTGACAACGTTAGTGCCGTCTACCTATCCAGCAATCCCATTCAACACTCTCGTACGAAACATGTGGAGATCGATATACACTTTGTCCGAGACAAAGTTGCTTTGGGACACGTTCGAGTTCTTCACGTCCCATCCGCCTACCAATTTGCTGATATCTTCACGAAAGGTCTCCCCACTCAACTGTTCCAACAGTTTGTTTCCAGTCTCCACGTTCTCTCCTTTCCCGTTTCGACTGCGGGGGTGTATTAGCGTATATTATTATTATTATTATTATTTATTATAGTTACCTTATACATTAGGTTACCTTGTATATTAGATTACCTTGTGTAGTAGGTTAGGGTTTCCTACATGTAACTATATATATTCTCAATATACGTAAGAGATATCATTCTCTCTTCTCTCCAATTATTCTCCTTCTATCAAGAAGATTGGAGAAATGAATGAATGGGGGACTTTTGATAGGTAAATAGTTGGAGTGTGACACTATATAAATGTAGTAGTAGGGGGGGTTGGCTTTATTTATGTATGAGGCC